TTTACTACACAGATTTAATTGTATTATTTGCAAATGGGTAAATGTTCCATATGAGGGAGCTCAACCTCTTGGAGGATGCCTTTTCATAAGCTCCCCGAAAATTAATGGATGTGTAAAAAGATTTAATTTGTAAATTATGTATGAAATATAGAAGTTAATAAAATTGTATGTACTAATAAAATTAAATCGAATATGCACACTTTGATACAATTGGTGAAACAGAACCTCACTTCTATAGAGATATTTTTTATAATAGAAAATTTACAATCTACCTAATAAATGGGTATCTGTAGACCATTAAATAATTTCTTGGTTACATATAACAATTTTTAATGAATTTTTAACGTGAATACATAGATGAAAAACATGAAAAAATTGTATAAATGTCTCATTATTTCGTAAATTCATGTTGGTAATAGGAAACAAAAAAGAAAAATTGGACGTTTTCTTACTGTTAGAATGTTGATACCGGCCCAATTATTTGATGTCAGTTTGTTTAAATTAAAACCTTCACTTTTCTTACATCCTGACCTTGGAACACCATTTTGGATTTCTCCATGAATTGTATCCACAGGGAAACAACGAAAAAGACAAGAAAACAACAAAGAAAGTTAAATAGACTCTAAAAAGGCCTGGAATTTATTAAGAGACAATGAAGATTCCTAAAGGCTCCTCCGAAACACAAACCATTTGGACAGAGTGATAAAGGAAATGCAGGAAGCTTCTAGAATATTAATATTATTCTTATGATACTTGTCAGCTTAAACATGAACATGCCTCGCATCCTGCTGTAGATGATGATGAATTGCAATGCTAATTTTGGTTTTGTGACGATTTATAGACCTGTTCATAAAGTGGTATATCATTGTTGTGTTTATATGTAGTGTAATTACAATATATTAGCATGTTGAAAATTATCATTATACTAAACTAACACAAGACTTCAATTCATGATGAACAAACAGAACTGCAATTATTTCGCTCAGTGTTTAGTGAAGGAGTTTTTACTCATTTATAAAATGAATTTAATTTAATTAACAGACAATAAGACTTCAAAAATTAGAAATATTTACATATTGATCGTTTTACAATGAATATATTGGAACACATTCTAATAAACATTGACTTAAGACCATGTTAATAGATTAAATGATATATATTGTATCATCCAAGTCCATTAGTAAATAACTACTACAAATTGTTTATTGTTCATTTTAATGTATATTACATTGTATTTTTTTTCTCGAAATTGTTCAATTATGTGAAAAAGTTTATAATATAATAAATTCTTTATATAAACTGTGTAATTGATTTAAGTCTTTATCACATATTACAAATAAATATTAACTTAAATCATTGATTTTTTAAAAATGATGATTTAATTGAAATGATACCAGCCTTAATTCTGATACAATATAAATCATTGGTTCAGTGACTATTTTGTGCCAGCCGAGGAAAATGAAACAAACGTATAAATTGCACAATACACAAGTTTTATGTTGGGCAAGTTGATTCGCCTTGTAGTTAGTAATAACATACCAGTAAGTATGCTTAGTGTTCTAGGATTAAAGAGGGAATTTACATTTTTTACAAAAATGTATCTTTTATGAAATGAACATTTGTGGAAGATATAACAATTTCAATTTGGCCTGTTTCCCCAAATTTTTAGGCAATCTTCTTTTGGGTTGGGAATATTTTTAACTTTAAAATAAAATAAAACATTGGTATAGATTTCTTCTATTAAGGCTGCAATACAAGATTTTTCATTTTCTATAGCTATTTGATTGGTTATAGCACATCATGACTATGTCCACAAAGTCCATACACAAACTATCCTCATTGAAAGCTACAAATGGGCAGAACAATACTGAATTGTTTTGGATGACTGAATTTTGACAGTATATGTAGTAAAATTGGATTAGATTTTTACTGTAACTATCAATAATATTATTACAGGATTTATTGTTCAGATAATTCATTTACCAATTCAAATTTGGCAACATTTAATTAATAATCATCAAAAACATGAACCTCTTGTAGTACTGAAGTACGTGAAATATCCAAAATAGTATTTTACCTAATTAAAAAAATTTAATATTTTTAAATTTTCAAAATGAACTTTATATTCAGAGTATATTATTTATTACACAGTTCTATTATTACACATTTCAAAACAATTTCTTTAAATTGTTCACATTCAAAATTGTTTTATTTATTAATAGAATTCCAGCGCTTGTTAGGCCAGTTTTTGTAAACAAAGCAATTATTAATAGATATATATGTTGCTGAAATAATATATTTGTCTACAATATCATCAACACTAGCAGCACTTGCAGCTTCAAAGGAAAAAAAGATTTCACTGGCACACTTTCTGATAAGATTTTCTTGGAATGTTCTTTGAGAAGACATGAGGGCTGGGCTTGTAAGAAACACTGTTGATACAATTCCATCTTCTAATGTTGGTGAAGTCAAATTCTTTTATATTGTGCCAGTTATCTCCTCAAAACATGCGATAACTCGAATATCACCTCCAGAATGGAAATTTAACTCGTACACCTAAGCAAATTAAATTAATTACATTTCATCATACACTAATGAGAGTGCACCTATTCTAGAAATTCAAACAATAATGAATTATGTATATTTGAAAATGAGACATTTAAATACCTGGGCATTGCAAACCATAGATATACAATGGATATATTACAAAACTTGTCCAATACCATACGAAATGATCAGTTAGAAATAATGTAATTACAATACTTTTAAACAAATAGAACAGAATAAATGACAAATGTACTTAGGTTAGGTTAGGTTAGGTTAGGTTATACTACATGGATTTAAGGATTTTTAAGAATATTTTGCATGGTGTAAATGCTCACAAATGAAATAATCAATTACAATCATGCAACAAAATTCCAAAAGGAATTATAAACACCTCCACTGCTGGTAGGGCGAATATCCTAGCAATGTATTTGTCTAACACCAGTCTTCTGAATACCATCATCCAAAATACCGAAAACAATGGGTAGATCCGGAGTTTAGGGTGGCACAGTTCCTTTGGATCACTGATCCGGTTCACTACAGAGAAATCGACTCACTGAACTGAATCCTTGTTTACTATTCGCGAGTTGTAATGTTCACCATTTTATCGCAATAATTATGAGTTCTATTTAACACTCACATGCAACTTTCCTCTCCGCGCAAATCATAAATAAATCCTGAATTCATACGTTCCATCTCGGTAGACACACAAAACTATTAAGAGACAACTTGAAATGCCCCCCCTCCCAAAAAAAGAAACATGCACACTGCACACCCCACACCCATGCCAACAAAGTCTAGAATTTTACAATTCATAAATTGGTGAAGTAAATAATTTTGTCATAGTAACAACTAAATGTGTTATTAGGAGGCTGTTTAATTCGTAAATCAAGTCTATATTTGTAATCCATTTCAACCAGCAAGCTAAAATCTTATTTTGTGCTTCGAAAGTGTGTTGTGAAGTGTAATTTTGGATGTGAATTGAAATTTAAAATGTGTCGTTCTGAAGAAAAAAATGTTTTGTAATAGCAAAATGTATAGCTTCATATGGCATTGATTCATAGTCATATTGTGTATATATTGGTGCTTTGACTTAAGAAAAAAAAATCAATGCCAGCAAAATTATTCTCTAGTGATTGAAGTGAACCGCGCAAATATAATTTTGTGAATCACGAGAAATAGTGAACCGAATCAGTGACCCAAAGGCGCCGTGCCACCCTGAACTTCCGATTAACCAAACAAAGTTTTCGCCATGGCAAATAAATATCGCGACACAATCCCCTCTACTTAAAAGGCATGACATTCTACATACTAACAAAATGTTGAAATATTTGGATAAAAAAGAGCACTTGCCTGCACGTAAACGAAAAACACCGCCTACATTGCCAGCTTTTTAAATTCTATGACGTCACACATTTAGTTCGGCTTACAGCCTGCTGTAGATGGCGCAGAAATCATTATCCCGTTTTGACCGCCAAGATTCACACATCTGGCCCAAACTCACTGCTTCCGCTACAGAATAAGGGTGGCAAACTGTATCACACCAGATACGATTCATTCCCGATGACCGATGCGCGTCAGTGGATACCATTAAGAAATATTATCCGCAGGTTTTCTTGAGCCCCGGAATATCTATCCCGGACCATTTTTCAAATATTGCTAATCTTGCGATTTTAAAATTTTATTTTTATTTATGTTACACTTTTACTCATCTTTCAACTATTTATAGTTAAAATGATCTAATCCGTAGTTTTAAAAGGCACCACTAACTGCGATAAGATCGGGACTCAAGTGTGCCACAGCGCCGCACTCGTTCGTCCTTTAAGCAGTTAGACCAGTTTGAGCGAGGTCGGATTGTCGGCCTGCGCGGAACCAGGTGGTCCTTTCGGCGCATTGCTGACCACGTGAGGTAGCTCTCAGTGTATCAACAGATGCCACTGCAGTGCCTTTGACCAGGAGGTCGTAAGTTCCAGTTTCGATGCTGGTAGGTTCTTCAACACTACCTAGTTAGATCGAGTAAAGTCGCTGTCACGATAGAAAAAAAGTTGCGGCCGGCTGATCTGATCGGCTGTTTTCCGTTTTTTCTACGGTCAATACGACGCGAATTGCGGAGCAGTGCTCTCTGACACAAACCGCGATCAACGCGGGATCTTTCCTCCCTCATTGGCCTACCCTTAACCATTACAAGCACTACACTACCGCACTTGTCGGGAGCTAAGAGCTTGTCCCTCTGGGGCGGTTCTTCGCAGGTTGAGACGTTTTGTTGGAGAAAGCACTTTAACAGCCAAATCTGACCATCTAGCGGAGAAAGATTACCGCCGCCTCAAGGGGTAAAACGAATTCACTACACATCCGGGACTGAAGTCTTTGGCAGTTAAAAAGCCCGGAATCACTAATCAATCAATGACTTATAGCTGATGCAGCAAAAGCGAGTAGGGAACTGACCTGGGTGCGGTTTAAGAGCGCCTCGAGGTCGGGGCGTCCGTCCCCGCCGCGCAGCTGCCCGCGGAAGGTCTCCGCCAGGATGAGCAGCTGTAGTGCGCGGGCAGATGCGCCAGCGCGAGCGACGCCAGGCGCACCACCACGCCAGCCTGCAGCAGCGCCACCAGCACCAGACCGCCCAGCAGGCAGCCCCCGGCCAGCGGCCAATTAAAAAAAAATATTAATTGAAAGGAGGCACAGAAGTAATGTACACTTCCCCCATTGTCATGGGCTGCACACACCTACCATAAAAACTCAATGTTAAGTCCATAATATAACCAAAGTTACGTCCATACAATAACAAAAGTTTTCTTACTACATATATTCAAATTGATTTTTAATAGTTTGATGTATTGAATAACAGGTGATCTTTCACATTAAATTGAGAAACAAAGGGAATGAAAAATATTAGAAAATATAATTTCAATAGTGACAACCAAATCTAAACTATTTCCTTGTTCTAACATTTTGTTCAAATTTTCTGATGTGAAGAACCAAATTAAAATTATTGCCTCACATTTAAAAAAGATCTTGTGACTTCAAGTGTTAGGCACACATTTGTATTTTGACAAGTTTATCCTAAATACATTTTCCTAAAGATGTGATTGTAGTAAATGTATTCTGAATCATTTTCTGATTTTATAATTTACTCATTCAAAACAAAAATTTAAAAGAAAGACTTGGTTTCTCAAAATTTATCATTGTGGCGAACAGTTCTCTATCATAGCCATAACAATAAAACTTTATGTTGTACGTTAACTAATCATTTTTACTTAAAAATTAATGTTATTTGTGCCAAAAAAAGTGAAAAACATAATAAACAAAACAAAATGCCTAAAATTTCTAAATTACACAAAATATGCTTCATATGTAAAAAGTTCTCTTTTTGAGATTAATATTTTACTCTAGCATATATTTCAAGATTCTGAGCGAGATTGGCTACAAAAATATACAATTACAAGAAAGTTTGCAGTTTTACAAATAACAATTATATACCAAATGTATATATACATTTCTAAACTTGAAGAAAAGATGAATACATCTTAGTCTGTACATTGTCACCATGTTTAAGTATTGACTAATACTAGCAATGTCTAGCAAAGCAAGGTTTAAAAAATTATATTCTTTAACACTGTTCAAATTTTAAAATACATACCTTACCGACATTCACTAAGAAATGTTGCCTTTATCAAATATATGAAATTACTGATTGATTTTTGACAGCAACAGATCAGAAATTAAGATCAGATGCAAGTACGAAGAGCGAAAAAATAAATCCTGAAACATTTGAAAACTAGAAACGAATACCTTCCTGTAAAAAAGGACTTGAATAATTGATTTTCTTAACATACTTCCCTAGATTAGCAAACAATGCTATTATTTTATGTTTAAATATGAAAATAAAGGGTTAAAGTAGGGAAAACTATACAACCTCAGGAGCTTGGGGCAGGGAGAGGGGTATCTTTAAGGCTAAATGCACCGAAAAATACTTGTAGGAAAATTCAATAGATCGCAGCACTATCACAGGGGAATTTACTTTACTGATAACGTCTGAACCAATGGTTCGATTTTCGATTTGTAAACGGCATTTGATGCCTTTTTGAAATAGAATTTACGCTACGATGACCTTTTTCCAAAAATCTACCAAAATCGCGAATTTGAAATTAGTTCTCAAACTTCCGAGAACAAATTTAAAAAAGTGGGCGCAATGGCGACATGCTTCCAAATCCAACGCCGTGACAATCATGCAAATCGGACGAATAGGAGTATCGTAAAGTGAAATTTACGAAAACACCTCTCCCCCCCCAATTCTTGTGCGCCGTTGCGTCACCTACCGCCGTTGTGGGCCATTGTCAGCGCGTGGCACGGCCAGGCCCGTCGCTCAAAGCGGTGCTACGTCTAAGATTAATTTTAGCTCTGCAAATAATTCAGCAATTAAAAAATAACTATCATTTTTCAGCTTTATGGTATGGCCTGCGATGACGCAGTTATGCTCGTATTAACATAATAACAGAGTTGACACCTTTATGATCTTCTTCTCTACGCCAAGGGATGGGTTCATGACCTGTTCTGGCTTCTACCAATTTCATTTCTATAACGATCTGTCTCTGTGTCTTTCTAACCTCGCGTTCTTACACATAAACACTTGCTTTAGAATGCGTGTCTGTCCATGTATCGAAGTCATTTCTCCCTTCACTCCGTGAAGTCAGAAAGATAGTATTTTGCCATTGATTGCTTGACAATTAATTTTATCTTATTTCGCGTCGCGCTTGCTGGACTGTAGTCCTATGGCGAAGAGACAATTCGCATAGCGAGGCTTGCGAGCACAATCGCATGGGTGGACAAATGAGCATCAGCACGAAGACTTCATTCGTTATGGAATCCCGCCAAGTGATTTTCGCCGCTAACTATATATACCGCTAGTTCACGTGACAGTGCCTCCCGCGCTGAGAGAATGGCCATTCGTTAATTCGTTTGGCCGTGTACAACGAATTCCGCTGGATAGGTGCATTTCGAGACCTGCGCCAGACTAACGCCCGCACTTGGCACTTGAACCGCAACACCTGCACTTGGCCGAGCTTCCCAACCGTTAGTTCTGTGTCACTACCGTGTCATTATATAACTATTCAATTATAATTGAACTAAAAATATAGGAATATTTTGTTTCTCTACGAAAATCTCAATGTGTGTTTGTGTAAGAGGTGTGTGTGTGTGTTATTTGCCTGTAATAGATCGAAAATGACCCTGTAATAATTATTTACAAATATAGTAATATGAAATATGTAAATAATATGTAGTATGAAAATATTTCATCATCTTTACGAGATCATAATCGTAGAAAGAGAAATATCAAGATTGTAGGAATATAAACCATGGAACTCTACAACATACCGATGACGCAGCAATCCTGGTTGCCAGCGTCTTTATCCTTCTCCTTGCGCTCGAGCAAGCAGTATATTTTCTGGAACTTTTTAAATTTTTTTCATCTAGATCTATCTCTGTAAAAGGAGGTTATATTATTTATAATATATATTTACATGACCAACTAGCCACATGTCATACTTTTCAAGTGCGTATAATGTTTTTTCGTAAATGCCATCCCTTTGCGTCTTTGTATTTGAAATGTTTAAATAATATCCTTGTGGTTTTGATAAAATTAATAAACAGACTTTGTAAATTATCTTATCTTTTAGGATCAAATTTAAATTTGTATGAAAGTTCATAAATAACCCGCAATCACGTTCGGTCCTTTAGAATGTGCCGCACATTTTTTCAGCATGTTATCTTCCAGATACAAAAAGACGAACCACAGTGAGAACTGTTGGATGCTATAAATAATCTAGTAACTACATGATATAGTTACCATTGGGTAAAGTGAATGAAAAACGAAAAAAAAGAAAGTTTATAATTCTAATCTAAAGATGAAAAAGAATTCGTGCACACACACACAGGAGTGACTGACAAAGGACGGACGGAGTGACTGACAGACGGGCTCACTGATGGGACGAATGACGACGGACCGCCTGACAAGTACTGACAGACTGATGGACTGACTGACGAAGAACTTACTGACAGACTGACGGACTGACTGACTGACTGACGGACGGCACGACTGGCTGCACGACTGACGGCACGACTGCGCGGCACGACTGCGCACGACTGGACGGCACGACGGACGGCACGACTGACGCACGACTGACGACACGATGACGGAAGGACTAGCGGAAAGACTAGCGGAAGGGCTGACAGAAAAAATAGTGTAAATAGTCCAAATACTCAAAATAATCAATATAGTTATAATACTCAGGATAGTCAAGATCAACTTGTTGGACGGATCCGTAAGTTGATTGGACTGGCTAGGTCGATCCCCCTTGATCGACTTGCTGTTCCATCCCCCTCGATCGACTTGCGGTCCATCCCCACTCGATCGACTTGCCGGTCCATCCCCCACTCGATCGACTTGCCGGTCCATCCCCACTCGATCGACTTGCCGGTCAATCCCCCTCGATCGACTTGCCGATCCATCCCCACTCGATCGACTTGTTCGGTCCATCCCCCTCTCGATCGACCTTGCGGGTCATCCCCACTCGATCGACTTGCTCGGTCCATCCCGCCTCGTCGATCGACCTTGCCGGTCCATCCCCACCGATCGACTTGCTGGGTCCATCCCACTGATCGACTTGCCGGTCCATCCCCCACTCGATCGACTTGCGGGTCCATCCCCACTGCGATCGAACTTGCCGGTTCCCATCCCCCACTCGATCGACTTGCGGGTCCATCCCCACTCGATGACTTGCCGGGTCATCCCCCACACGATCGTTGCGGCATCCCCACATTGATCGACTTGCGGGTCGATCCCCACTCGATCGACTGCCGGGGTCGATCCACCCGTCGCGCCGTCCATCCCACTCGATCGACTTGCCGGGTCCATCCCCACTCGATCGACTTGCCGGGTCGATCCCCCGCTCGATCGACTTTGCGGTCGATCCCGCTCGATCGCCTTGCCGGGTCGATCCCCCGCTCGATCGACTTGCCGGGTCGATCCCCCCGTCATCGCGTCGGTTCGACTGCGGGTCGATCCCCCGCTTGATCAACTTGCTGGGTCGATCTCCCGCTTGATCGACTTGCTGGGTCGATCCCCACTTGATCGACTTGCTGTCATCCCCTCACTGATCTACTTGCTGGTTCCATCCCCACTCGATCGACTTGCTGGGTCGATCCCCACTGATCGACTTGCTGGTCGATCCCCCACTGATCGACTTGCCGGGTCAATCCCCTCGATCGACTTGCCGGATCCATCCACTCGATCGACTTGTTCGGTCCATCCCCTTCGATCGACTTGCCGGGTCCACCCCCTCGATCGACTTGCTCGGTCCATCCCCTCTCGATCGACTTGCGGGTCCATCCCCCAGTCGATCGACTTGCCGGGTCCATCCCCCACTCGATCGACTTGCCGGGTCCATCCCCACTCGATCGACTTGCCGGGTCCATCCCCACTTCGATCGACTTGCGGGTCCATCCCCCACTCGATCGACTTGCGGGTCCATCCCCACTCGATCGACTTGCGGTCCATCCCACAGCGATCGACTTGCGGGTCCATCCCCACACGATCGACTTGCCGGTCGATCCACCCACTCGATCGACTTGGCCGGTCGATCCCCCACTCGTTCGACTTGCGGGTCCATCCCCACTGATCGACTTGCGGTCCATCCCCCACTCGATCGACTTGCGGGTCGATCCC